AAAAAAAGGCAAAACATCCACAGCTATAAATTAGTCTAGAACAGTCCAATGGAGAAGGTAGGACATCTGCTCACCATTGCTGCAGCGGTTTCCTGCACAACACATGGAATCCCGTGAGCAACGCTTCCGGCTCTTACGACAGGGCAGACAGGCGCCTCGGGCGTCATTGCAGAATTCATCACCTCCGCAGTCTTCATCATCAGTGCAGACAGCCGACTGCTACAGTGAGAAGATTCGAAACACATGTTCAGGCATTTCAAACGTCAGAGTTTCGGTTTGGAACGCACCGACAGCAACTTTGCGCACGGTGCGCAACTTTACGCACGGTAAACATTCTCACCTGCGGAGTGTCTGCGGGAGCTTTGTGTCCCACGCTGCCGGAGGGTGATGTCCGAGGAGTGGGGCTGACAGGGATGACGCCTTTGCCCGCCGGAGCTCCGGGCAAATTCTTAATGGCGTTGGAGTTCATCTGCACGGTCCCCGCGCTAACGTCTCCAAAGTATCCAAAGAGGGTGAGGTACACAGCCAGAAAGCGATGCGCTGGAGGCAACGGCATGTTCGCTCAGTGCTGCTACAGAGAACGGAGAAACGTCTTCTTTCTGGAAGAAAATGACGTAGTGACAAAGTCCAAATCGCCGTCGAATCCCGGATCTGTGAGTCCTGACTTGCGGCACAGGATGGTTTGGAGATCTCCTGTCTCCGGTCTTAGGGATGATCTCTTTATACATGTGGACCTGTTTGTCTTCCCGCCCCTCACTGAGCACAACAAAGGCGGAGGGTGGAATTTCAAAGAGAGCCCACTGTACGGAAATGGCCTTCCATTCTCCCTGCACAGGAGTGCGTTTCACAATGTTTGTGTAGTGTTAATAACCCCGTCTGCCTGATTTGCCGTCATTTGTGACGCATACTCTCTCAAAGTGTGTGCACGGCCAAGACCCCAGTCATCTCAATAGGAAATCACATCACTCTTATCGAAAAGTAAATAATTCTGCTCCCATTTTTTAAATCACGTGATATTGTTTTGTTTTTTTGTTTGTTTGTTTGTTTATTAGTTGGGAAAGCAGTTTTAAAGGGAAACAGAGTGCCATTTAAGTTCTGCGCGTATTTTCGGAGCAGTCGCGCTCTAAGCTTATTTGGGCTCAGACACCGCTCTCTGCACGGAGCTGTTTGGTTATTCTAGTTTCTTTGACATTCACGAAGCCTCGCTGCCCCTTTGGCTGTGTGTGAAGACGCTGATTGAAGTCACTTGTGTCGATTAACTACTGCATTTGATCTTTGTGATCGCGATGGGGAGGGAATTATCCTCCAGAGTGTGCTTGATTACACCAGTTACGGACATCAATGTGCAGGATATGCAGATCATTAACGGGTGTGAAAAGTTTACCGAATTAATGGACTTCCGCGGCGAGGCCTTTCAGAAGTGACTGGCACTTCGAGATTAAAGGCGGCTGTGATCTGCCCCTCTGTGCCGTGTCCCGTGGGCTCCTCCACAGCAACAGATGAATGGCCTCAGTGGGATTGTAGAGAAAAAAAAAACCCCAAAAAACAATCACGGTGATGACGTGTGTTTCTTTGTAAATACCATTGTATACCATAGTATACCTTTATATTATTATATTAATCATAAAGCCATAGTTAACACCTGTTTAAACCCACAGTCATTGTTTCACGTTCATACTTGATTTTAAATGTTAAACTGTATAACACATTTCAAATTGACATTTTTTTTTACACACCGTGGAGCCAATTTGTATCTAATTTAACCGAATTAGTTGACATCTCCAAAACGACTACACAGGCTTGAATCAGTTGTTTGTTTTAGTATATGTGGTAATTGATGAAATTATTTGGTAATGTCTGGCACTTTCCAATGTGGCGAGAAATTAGATAAAAATCGATCGTTGCTGACGTGCGTGATTAGAAAGCAGTCGTTTTAGTTTCCCCACTGAGATATTTTGGCACTTGGACGTCATCTGCTGGTCACCTGTGGCCCCTGTTGGTGTGTGTGTGTGTGTGTGAGAGAGAGAGAGAAGCAGCCACCTGACAAACACACTGCAGTACTTTGCCACGTTTAAATTGCTGTATATCTTTTGAAGTTCGGCTTTTATCTCCACTTTACTAAATGTCAGTGCTGGTAAGGTGAGCTCCACTTTGATCCTCTTTGATCTCACTGAAGTGTCACCCTGTTGTTATGGCTGAAGCCATTTCCCTGTGCCCCAAACAGATTTGTTGTACGAATAACACCAGGAGAAGAGACCAGAGAGGCTGAATCATCCGCACTTACCGCAAAGTGGATGACATTAAACTCCAGCAATGATTATTTAGATGTCAGGCAAACGTGAGGCTCCGAGGAGCTGCTCGTACCTGCAGCGCCCTCCCGTGGTCACAACAACAAACAACCACATTCTCCCACACATTTCTTTTTCTCATGTCAAATAACTAAGAGCCAAACACCACTCAAAAGTACTGTTTTTTACTCTATTATTTCAGAAAAAAAAACCATACACGTGACACTCAAATGTACAGCAGAAAAACATGATAACAAGGCAGATATCTGGTCACACTGCAAAAGCACTCATGGTAAGACTGCAAACCACTGGTTTTTAAGATGGTCTGGTACATAAGGCTTGATCATAGTCATGATACTCCCTTGTTACAGTCGGCCTACAGAGAGTTTACATTCCTTCTCATTTGTAGCCCGCGTTAGCGAGTGTGGATGTTCCCTCTGGTATGAATAAGACTTTGTGCTGTAAAATTGAACCACAAATGAAAAGTATAGATCAGTGGTTCTCAAACTCAGGTGCATGTGACACGGGTGGTATTTGGGCTCCCTCTAGTGGTATGCATGGGCCTTTTTTTTATTGGAGGTACGTAATCAGCATTCCCCTGTCGGCAAAAGTGAACCGAAAAGGGGGAAGCAGTATTTGTGTGTTTTTGGCTCATAATCTCATTTAGAATCCATTCTCGCCTTCATAAACTGCAGTAGAGGTTGATGTCAAAAGTTTGAGAACCACTGCTCTAGGTGATATCGTGTTACAATCAGTGCTATCATTACTGTCTGAGATTGTCAATAGTGCTAAACAACGGTGTGTGTTTTTTTCTTTCTTTCTTACAGTGAGTCAAATCTGCAAATCATCCTTGCCGTCCCTCGTGCTAACGCTGATATCGTCATTATATTTGATGCCAGTCTCGCTGCGATCGACTTCGATAAAGCACATCGGATACGTTGGGGAAAGCACGTCATTGCAGCTTCAGCAGGTACTATACATTTTCGCTTGTATAATTTTAAAATGTTAAATGTTCTAGTGAGAGAACTCTTTTTTTTCATTAAGTTTTTTTTTGGAGGTTTAAAGCAAAACAATTTTTGCAACATAAAACGACTAGGGAATCAAGGTGATTGAAGTATTTATTGGATATAACAAAGGATGTGAAGCAGCCATCTAGAGAGGACACAAGGTTCTGAGGTGAATATGTGTGTTCATGCAGCATCAAAAAGGTCCTCTGATGTTAAATTTGTATGCCATTGATTTAAGGCACTTACATTACATCTGATTTTATGCTTTGATAAGTGGGTGTGAGGGGTGAGTGGCAGGGTAATAGATCATGGTGCTACTAGTGGTCAAAGCTGTGGGTTTCATAAAATAGAATCTTCTCTTTTGCTGTCTAAGTCAAGGAGACATGGAGTTAATGAAGTCCCTACATGAGGATGAAGTGAAAGGTTTACGCTTCACTGCCTTTGAAGAAGAAAAGTTGTTTTGTTTTTTTCCTATCCTGATCATGGTAAACCTGTTTAAAACAGTGAGAAAAATACCACTTAGCACAATGTAACATGGTGTCAAGTGATATCAAACAAAGCTTCACGCAAGTTTACAAAAATGACACAAATCCTTGAAAGGAAGTCAAGTACGTTACAAAGGAACAAAGCATGAAAAAGAAAAATCACTATACAAAAACAATAACCAGTACTGTCAACTCACCACCACTTCTTATAATTTATCAGTAACAGCACCAAAGACATTGAAACCATGTTCACAGTTATATCAGAAATATACAGGAGCAAAGAGACGACGTTCCTGCTTGGTTAAATGCGAAGAGGCATTCGGGTGATTGAAATCAACGTAAGATGTGTGCAGAGAAGCGTTCTAAGTATATGTAATTAAAAACAAATAAAAAGAGCATGACTTCATCTGCTCCAGCTTAAACCAGCTGAAACGGGTGATTTTCTCACTTAATGGTCTTAAGTGCGTAATGACGGATTGTTTTATGGACACGCTAGCTGACATTTTTGCATGTGTCAGAGAATGATTCATTTAAAATTAGGCAGGGCACTTGAAGAATCACATCTCTTTCCACTCCACGCACAGCCACTTGTGCTTTTTTTTTTTTTTTTTTTCAACACGAGTCAGTTTCATTTCGAAAGGTAGAAGAGCGTTTGACGTCATGGACGCGGTCGTCAGAATGTGACTCTGAATTCAAACACTATGCACCACGCACAGTTCGGAGGCTAAATAAATACGACGCGTGTGAATCAGTGACATTCAGATTAGTCTTGAGCACTTGTTGCCAGGTTTGCTTGCAAACAGCAGAGAGATCCTTCGGCACAGAGCTGCACATTCACGACCAGCGAACCGTCGCGGTATCGTAATAAAACCTCCCGACGCCGATCGCATTTCCCAACAGAAATTTAAGCAAAATATCGCACACATAAATAATCACCATCCTCTCTCTTTTGCAGGTGTCCGCCGTCAGACATCACACTCATCCAAGTACCAGAACCCAAACGGACCAAACTTCAATCGACAATCGTTTACCTAATTAACGTGGGAAAAAAAAAACCCCGGCTCCGTGATCAACCTCTCCCAGTGTGTGTAAGTGAAAGTTTCCCTGCACATTCTTTCCTTTGCCTTAAGAGCAGAGTGTAAGACAACACTAAAGAAGTGCTACAGCAGTCTCTTTGTAAATGCTTGATCCAGAGCCACAGTGAAGTAAAGGCATACTGGTGACCCAGAGGGTTAGCCATCCATCCATCCGTTTATCTTCTTTCCCCTCATTCATTTTAAATGCGGTTTCCTTTCCTTTTCTTCTTCTTTTCTTTTTTCTTCTTCTTTTTTTTTTTTTTACAACAAAGTCCTCAAAATGGCCTCCGAGCCAACAAAAGAAGAGTTCCTTTGGGAAAGAGCTGGACTTCAAAAATCAACATCCCAGCCTGAGTTGTCGTCAGGTGGAGGGTCTTCATTGTCCTCTGGGAAGCTATCAAAGTTACTTGTGTCGACGGCCGATGTGACCTAGTTGGGGGGAAAAATGTGTAATTAAAACAAGTAAAGGGAAATAGCAAATTAACAACAAGAAGAAGTCTTTATTTACATTAGGGATAATTGGAGGCGTCAATGTCCCCTTCTTCAAGCCCTCCCAGTTAAAGCCCTCGAACCATCTGCAAAAAAAAAAAAAACAAAACAGTCAATGCAATTGATCAATTATCCAGTGAAAAAAACAAACAAACCAACAATCGTTCATTTGTACGTGTGCTTACTTGTGCTTTTGGATGTCTTTGACACCATTTTTCAAGTTTCCCAGCCTTTCAGAAGGATTATCCCTGGTGTAAAGAAACAAAAATTATGATCCAACATACATACGTATGCCAATCTAAATAATTTACTCCAGTTGTTCTCCAACTTTTTCTACTGTGTAGCACCTGAGTAAATGTTGAGCTATTAGAATATAGCAGCATAGGCCTTCCCTTTTAGCTTCCACCACACGGCAGAGATGTGTTGTTTAGAAAGTTGTACTGCACGGCAATTTTAGCCCTTGCCCCGCGTTGAATCTTGTTATAGTCTAGGTTTTAACACTTTTCTTTTCTGCATCAATGTGTTTCAGAAACGTGCCATTCATAGTGCTGAAAAGAGCTGTTGGCCTGCCACCTGCTGGATTGTGATGCAAGTCTGTTTGATGAAGGTAAGGGATTTCTATGTTTTATTTTCATGTTTTGGTCACAGATGGCCATATAATCCACAGGAGCTGTTGGTTTTACCAAGACCTATTTGCACTGAGATTGTTTAGTTTTACATCAGGTCATATTTTGTTGTTGTCTTATCTGCTTTTTCTAAGTTAAATGGGAAGAATTAAGAATAAATGTCTCGGGTACTATAGAGTTTTTGTCACCCTAGTTTTACGCACAAATTGCTTTAATCATCTGATTCTTAAGGGTTCAATGGTACCTAAACGCCCCTCAGACAGACAAACATTTTTTTTGTTGAAAGGTTTATTATTCAATTGGAATATACAGTGCTCAAAACATGTTAATAATTTTCTTATTTTAAACAAATGTAATAATTACTGAAAATATACTCTAGAAGTTGTTTCTTTATAAATATTTGGTCACATCGTCTGAGGTTTTGTTAAGAGGGTCCCCGACCAGAGGTTAATAATGTTTAGCGGGGCCTTGGCATGGAACAGTTTAGGAACTTCATGCACAAACACTCACCTGCATAGCTTTTTGATTAGGTTGGCAGCATTTTTGGTAATTTTCTTTGGAAATTCGATCATGTCGATGCCCCTCAGAATGATGTTGTACGTTTTCATGGGGTCAGGGCCAGAGAAGGGGGGGCTGCAAAATATACGACAAACACATCAGCTGTCTTTGAAATGCATTTGTGGACATTGTGTCGTGAAAACATCAGCTCAATTAGCATTCATCAATCATCTAAGTAATCTCTTCAGTTTCACACACACACACAGTGGGACGTTTATCCACATTTGTTTTCGCAGACAGTGCAAATACCGAGTTCAACTCGGAAATGAGAATGAGTTTCTCAGAACATGTCTGGACTTGTGTGTACCTGCCAGTTAAAAGCTCAAACATGAGAATTCCTAGGGACCAGTAGTCCGCTGAGATGTCGTGGCCTTTGTTCAGAATAATTTCTGGTGCTACATATTCTGGTGTTCCACAGAAAGTCCACGTCTTCTTACCGAAGCCAATCTTTTTGGCAAAGCCAAAGTCCACCTGAAAAGAAGTTGTTTAGAACGCTGGTTAATAAAGTTGATATTTAACCTCATCTTTGTGTTTTGTCTTAATGATATGGACACAAATACATGGAAGAGATTAGCATTAACTAATTAATTAGTTATAAAATAAGTTGTATAGTGCAATAATACTATACAATAATATATATGTATATATAAATATACATACAATAATATATGTATATATACATACATACATATATACACAAATATATATGTATATGCATATATATGAATGTATATGTGTGTATATATATATATATATGTATGTATATATATATATGTATATATACACATATATGCATATACATATATATTTGTGTATATATGTATGTATGTATATATACATATATTATTGTATGTATATTTATATATACATATATATTATTGTATAGTATTATTGCACTATACAACTTATTTTATAACTAATTAATTAGTTAATGCTAATCTCTTCCATGTATTTGTGTCCATATCATTAAGACAAAACACAAAGATGAGGTTAAATATCAACTTTATTAACCAGCGTTCTAAATCAAACAACTTAATGACATGTTGTTATCAACTTTATTAACCAGCGTTCTAAACAACTTAATGACATGTTGCGCTCTAATGTTTTTCTCCTACCAGTTTGGCATAGCCCCTGTGGTCCAGTATTAGATTCTCTGGCTTGAGGTCTCTGTAGATGATCCCTTTGGAATGCAGGTAAGCAAAGGCCTCCACCACACAGGCCGTGTAAAACCTAGTTGTCGAGTCTTCAAATGAACCCCTGGAAACACATGACCACAGCACAGTCTAAGATAAAGATAACGATAAAGATCAAGATAACGAACATAAGTCATGTAACGGTTCAGACCCCAGAAAAACAAGCCTGTCTTCAAAGTAGTAGTCGGAAGTGCTAAAAAAAAACTTTGTTGTGTTTTTTCGCTGAACGCTACTTCATCTGTGTGTATTTGTTTCAGAAACAGTACAAACAGACATGACACCATATTTGAATGAAATCAAAGCTTACCGGTCTCTAAGAATGGTCCATAGTTCTCCTCCTAAACACGCTTCCATTAACATGTACAGATACTTGCTGTCCTTGAAGGTTCTGTAGAGTCTACAGACACAGACAGGCACACTGGTGTCAGGAACAATATGATTATGGATGGATGGAAAGAAAGATAGACAGATTGATGGATAGATAGTTTTTTTTTGTATTTCCATAATACAGGACCTGAAGCTCATGTCCTCCCAGCATAGAGGTGGTGATGGATGAATCCTCATGTAAACTAACTACATCATTTATCCTGTCTTTTTCTTTCAAGGTCTAAAAAGCCCTTAAATGGAAAGAAGACGTACCTGACGATGAAGTCAGAGTGGGCTTCCTGCATGATGAGCTTTTCTGAACGAATGTGCTCCTGTTGTCTGGTATCAACGATGTGCCGCTTCTTCAGGATCTTCATGGCGAATGTTTTGTTTTCGTCACTCTTGAGCTGAACCTGCAGTTAAGAGGTAAGGTATGACTCCAAATCACCCAAGTCACCCTATTATTACCATAATAATAATAATAATAATAAAAACACAACAGTTCATCTTACCAACTCAACACGCCCAAAACCACCAACCCCTAAGGTGTCAATGATATTGAAGTCAGCCAGGTTGAGATTAAAGAAGAACGCGTTCTCCGCCTCATACCTGTGGAGCCACAAAGACATTAGTAATGGAATAAAACATAACTCACTCCAACCACAGACCAAGCAAGTCTTTCCATTGTGAGTGTACTTTCTAAATCAACATACAGTAATCTATTAAGGATACCAGAGAGGTAGTTGGGAGTATAAATATCAACATGTGAGTAGGATGTGATCCAATTTAGTCCCCTGGCAAATCACTTGTTCCGATTATAAGTCCTTATCCTGTCTCCATTCTTCAAACCAGAGAATCAAGCCCACGCTCACTGACGAACCTGATGACCTGCTGCTGACCTACACGGGCACCTGTTCTCCGGAGTCCACCTCTTATCCACAGATGCCCCACGTCTTAGTTTTTGAAGGGGACGCTTTGGTCTTTGGATCAGTGGGTTTCAGACAGATCTACGCCTGAACAAGCCTCTCTGGGTCACTTAAGAGCAGACTCCTGTCTCAGCGTGAGGCCGTCGACCCCGCAAAGGCTGAACAGCTGCACACCCAAAGGTAAAAAAAATTCAGAAACTTCAGGTATAAAAAAAAAAGCCTGCACCAATATTTAAGCATTAATTTAAATATTGACCCTTTTTGTGGACACGCCAGACACTTGAAATTGGCAGGAGTTGTATTTTCCTTTATTTAAAGGTATGCCAGTGGCATTTCACTCCGTTAAAACCCATCACATACATTAGTGTCACAACAAGCCAGGGCAGTAAAACCTTTTCCCTGAGCTGCATGCCAGCGGGCTTTATGTTAGCACATGTTGGCCTGTTACTGAGCCCAGTGTTTGTCAGAAACACAAGGTTGCCAGGACAGTGGTGTTTATTTGTGGATGTCTGTGTCCAGGCACTATTGTACTGTATCTCATGAGGTGATCCTTCATCTTTTTTCTCCCCAATCTCCCACCTGGACAGCCGCCAGGAAAATGCTCACCTCGAAAGTGCGCTCTCTTCGAGAGAAACAGAAAAACAACTGAATTTACACGGATTCAGAAGTGCACTCCTACTCACCTACAAGGCAAGGAGCAGTAAGGACAGACTCTATGAGGTGTGGACATCATCTTTCTAGACTTAGTTATACGTTGACCAGCAGATGGCAGCATTACTCTACAATATGTATGATGGCTTGCACTTGATGCAGCACTTTTTCACTGTTGAAACTTTTTTTTTTAACAGGTTCATAATACTGCCGAGGTGGGATCATGTCGTTGTTTTGCAAGTCACAAGTGTCAAGTCTTTGCCCTCAATTCCTGAATCAAGTCCCAAGTCAAAACTGGCAAGTCTCAAGTCAAGGCCCAAGTCCTGGAGCTTCAGTTTCAAGTAAGTCTTGAGTCTTCCTAACCATATAGTTTATTTACACAGATCATGTATGCTTGATAGCTTTACTTGTTTATGGTGATATTTTGATATGTTCAGATATGTTTTTTGGAGTTTTTAGCAAAAGTTATTCACTTGGCAGCATGTTTTGGGAGGCATTTAGAGGCATTTCTGGGACTTTTTGTTTTTGCATGTTTTCGTGATAGTAAGACTATGGCTTTACTTGTTTATGGTGATATTTTAATATGTTTAGGTATGTTTTTTGGAGTTTTTAGCAAAAGTTATTCACTTGGCAGCATGTTTTAGAGCATAAACCTGCATTTAGAGGCATTTCTGTGACCTTTTACTATTTTGCATGTTTTCGTGATAGTAAGACTATAGCTTTACTTGTTTATGGTGATATTGGCATGATCAGATTTGATGAACATTTTCTTTTTTTTTTCTTTAACTATTTCCAAAATGCTCTAATGTTATGAGAAACATGAGGCAACTGCAGAAGTTCCATAGTGTAGTGGTTAATGCACTTGCCTCTGGAGTTGGGAGCAGGTAGTCATTGGTTCTATCCCCAGAGGAATCATGTACTTTTCAAAAAATATAAAAATAATATAAACAAGCTTTGTTATAACGCTGTTATTTTAGGAGAAACTGAATTACGATAAAATTGTTATGCTAATTGTTTTTCAAACTTTTATCTTGTCTTCATGTTTTGCACCAAATTACTGCATTTGGAGATATTTCTTTTAACCGTTTTCAGGGATTTCTGGGAAAATTTTAATTTAACTTAATGATAGTGTAACAGCATTGTGACAGTGTGATATAAATTGCAGCGTTATAAGAAAGTTTGTTTAAAAATGTTAGTTTGAAAATGTTGTGATTGCTCCGGGAATCGAACCCATGACTACCCGCTCTCAGCTTAAGCAGGTGCATTAACCACTACACTATAGAACTTCTGCAACTGCCTAGTGTTTCTCATAACATTAGAGCATTTTAAAAAA